CGAAGAGCTCACAGAAACTGCAGAGACAGCACGTACCAGTCACCGCCACAGCTGAGGCAACAGAGTGCAGTGCTTAATGGTCTCTCTCACACTCGTTCACCAAAATCAGTTTGTACACAGGTTTTCTACATTGTGAATTTTCCCTTCATCTTTCACTTTATCCCACAGAGACCTGGGAAGCTCCTAATCAGAAAATGACCATCAGACTTAAAAAAAATTCTGCAAGTCAGCAAATCATGTTTTCACTCCATGCTGTGGAAGACCTTGATGATGATATAAGCACTGTAGCCACACATTCACTATTTAAATGCAAGACAAGCTGCAAGAGCACAGAAACGCAACCTCTTTATGATGGACTTTGGTGCAGATCCATTTGTCATAAAAAAAAACAGCCACAGGTATCTATGTAAATGAAAAGTTCAAGCATAAGAGTTGCACCAATCATTTGCTTCTCTGTTTCATTTTAATAGTCAAAGCTTAAGACTGTATCCCAAGTCATTGCTGTCAGCAGACATGTCACGCAAAGTCATTATTATCCCTGCTGACACTGCTGGGAAATGAAAGGTTAAAGCAGAGCAGAAGAGCAGACCTCCTTTTTTTCTTTGCTTACAGGTCAACAACAGGCCTGCAGTCTCCCGTCCAGCCAGGTGCATGATTGGCTTCAGTCTCCATGTGTAAGGCCAAATGAAATGGGGAAAATCACTGCCAACTGGTGGTGGCTGCATGTCTTGTTTGTGTGTGCGTGGCTTGTGTGTGTGATTGGGGGTTGAAGGAATAAACAGCTGAAACCGTTGTCGGCCTTAAAGGGTGCACGGCCGTGCATGCTAGTGTGATTAACATTGCGTCACACCACAACAGACAGACAACTGTCTGCCAGCTGCCTCGAGCAGCCCCAGCTCACTTAGCGGGAAGCCCAAGTTGGAGGGCCTTCAGAGGTATTACCCAATCCACGCAGTCACCTTCAGCAGTTAAAGCTGAGTCAAAAGTGCTGTTTGCCTGGGTCACATCATGAGCTGACTGATGAGACTCCCACAACAGCAGCGCCAGTATGCATCAGTACACTTAACTCAAGACAGTGAGACAGAGAATGCTCTCCTCTGTGAGAACAACCAGACAGAAAACTGGATTGTTTCACAGACACTAAAAATACAGACTTGTCTTCACATGTCCATAATAGGGATTTGGCGTGGCTTAAAAAACACTTCAACACAGTATAACATGGCCAAACACTTGAGAAAGCACCAATTATTTGGTCTGTAATCAAATTGACTCCATATTAACTGTCATTATGAGACCTAAGAATATCAATATTTCTTTCTGCAGGCTGGTAAAAAGAACCAATTGATTATATGTGACAAATAGTGGCACTGTGGACTGTCATGAACGAGTCTGCCTGAATACCTCGTCTGCAGGGCTCAGCATGTCACATAAAAAGAGATTAGAAAGAAATTACAGGGTGGTGCTGAAAAATCGACGAGTGGGCTTAAATCAAATACTTTGGTTCTGAAGATGAATTCTGTTGTGGGACCGGGAGGAGAATTATAGCCATCTCTTTAACCTGCAAAGCCCTATATTCTCAACTCAAAACATTGTAGTTGAAGGACATCAAGAAGAAAATAGCATTAAGCAGAATCACACAAACTTCAAACATCACACACCTCAGATGAAGAAACGAGTTACCTCAGAAATTCAAACCAGACACTGCATGTTAATTACCGGGAAGTCATAGGTGAACCTCGCAGTAAAATCTGAGTGGCCTGTATCCTCTACCCTAAAAGCGAACATCAATTAAAACACCACTTGATTTTATTCTTTTACAATATAATCACCTTCTTGTGCCTTGGGGTCTCAAATCTATTAATTCCACTGAGGCTTACTTGCAATGCAACCTTTCTCAGAAACTGTTCACATCAAACGCAACAGGCCACAGCAAATGAGCAACCCATTTCCAGAATGGCATGGGCACCATAAAAAACTACTTAAAAGGGATTAAAATGGCCAAGTCCAAACAGATCCCCTACAGATTGAGGCTAGGAGAGGAGAGCGAGGAGGAGGAGGAGGAATGATCTAGGAGGAGCGCAAGATGGAGGGACTAAATTAGCAAACTGTGAGTTTTTGCGGTCTTGGCAATGGGGAGATCCCAAGGGAGAGCTAATGACTGTGGTGGTATCTGGCATGGGGGCCAAGTTTCCTTGACTGCTTTAAAGTTTCTTCCAGTCCATAGCCACCATGTCATGAGCAACATATGCTGAGCTATCTTGCAATTATACCATTATCAAGGTCCCTCCTCCCACTGACTTCCACTATAGCATGTCAAGCAGATTTTACAGGAAATTTGTCCTTCTTGTCCCTCTGAAGGAAGGACAGTCTGCACAGTCTGTTCCTGTATTAAAACAAATAGGACTATGAAAAATAACAGGGGTCACCTCTGGGAAAGCCCGGCTGGAAAATGGCACAAAAAAATAAGAGCACATTTTTAAAGTGCACTAAGCCATGTAAATCTTTTTGGATTGATGAACATATGAGAAATTGGAAATAAATGCTATTATACAATACAATTGAACACAATTTTCATTATTCTACAAAAAATATCTGCCAAGAGCAAAACATTCCATCTTTCCAAATTTGTAAGCAACCAAATACAAATAGTCCTGTGTTAAACAAAGACTGTAAATAAAGATGGATGACACGTCTCCACTTCCTCCCACTAACAATCAATGAAGCCAAAATATCCTGGATACAAACACTGCCGTCTTGAGCCGATGATGTATTTTTGAGCCATAGTTTGCGCAGTAGTGATCGTAGGATGGAACTGCAGTATCCAGGCCCACCTGATGCATGTGCTCAACCAACCAACTTGAAGGAAAACATTTTTGACCTGTATATTGACTTAGTAGTTTGGTCCATGCCCCATCCACCAACATGGAGGAGGCAGGGTTTAGACAGCCACCAGGGGGGGATATCAAGACGCTTTAGCTTCACTTTCAGGAAGCTGTAATGTCACCCTTTATAGTCTATGCTGTAAAAAAGCAAGCACTGCCCCGATGCTAAAAACAAATCTCAACCACAACAACAACACTGACACTGTGTCAACCAAATTATTTTCTTACCAGTTGATTCCAATTTTAAGACAACAGAAACACAAAAAATAAAGTGGATGACAAAACTCCAACCACACCAGACTTTTAAATTTAACACATTTCAAACTGCCTGGGATCGAAATGAAATCTTTATTCAATCCGTGCAGAGGAAGCAGTGAATATTTTATGTGCAATATGGTACTATCTTGTCCCAGAGACCATTAACCATACTGCAGTGTGCCCAATTTGATTAACACAACCTTCCCCATCAGGGCTCCTGTGATGCTAACTCCATTTTGGCTGCCAGGAAGGACCTGAATTCCCAAACAGGTCCTCTTCAAGGACAACAGGGACGTAAACAGGGTGGTAGAATAATGAAACTTACAATTTGAAATTATTATACTTAATTGATTAAAATGTATCCAAGATCATATAAGTCATATAATATATATAATTAAGATCATTTAAGAAATGACTTTGATTTAATACAGGCTATTACAGGAAATTAGCCATATTACTTTTATTCTGAACTTGAAAAAGTCTGAAAATAAAAAAGTACGCAGTAAAGATATCTGTCCTACACAGGGGCAGCAGTGCGACAAAGTGACCACTGCGAGCTGTTGCTTCTCTGTGACCTCTCATCTGTCTTAAGAGCTCTAAACAACGGAGAGGAGTGGTCAGATTTTATTGTCCCAGCATGAGAAAAAGGGGAGAGAGCTGCTTTGGCTTGATGGATGGGGTCCAACTGGGAGGGTGAGGCTGGGATAAAGGAGCTGGGTCCCGCCATAAAACTCCGCTACTCCCTAGCATCCACGTACACAGAACCTCCTGTTGTTAAGAGTATATGTGTGTGGGTGAGGGTGTGTGGGCGTATGTGTGTGTGGAAACTAGGAAGCTGCGTTATCAGCGTGATTCATGCATGCACGCGAGACGGGTTGCAACAACTTGATAGCACTTGACAGAAAACAATACATAAAAGTCTGCAATGATAACTTCTCCCTCTGCACTGTACTGGAGAGAAGTGGGGGTGACTGTTGTGTAAAGCAGAGCCAGATTCTTCCCCTCTTTAATCTTCACATTTGACTGTTGAGTGAAGCGATCACATCAGACAAAGACGTGTAAGCGCTGTACCTCCTGCTAGACCCAGTCCTCAGGTGGTAAAAGCAAGTTGAGGCTGGTAAATGCAGTCTAAGCACAAATGGTCAATCTGCTATGCCAAGACAGAGCATTGGAGGAGAGCATTGTATGAATAAGAGACGAGTAAACTGCATATTACTGACAGTGAGTCATGTTTAGTCATGTTGGAAAATGAAGATTTTTGAAGGAAAAGAAAACATCTGTTATGACACAATGGCCACGCTGTCTATGTCTATATTCAAAATAAAAGAGATGGAGGGTATCCTGCTCCGAACTGAGGGTTACAGATATAACAATGGTTCTATGAATTTTAAATGAGTGAAAGATACAGTGGGTTATTGCTGGAGTGTATCCATGGTGGCATGCAGTGTACACAGTGTAACTATCTCCACTTAGGCAAACCGTTACCAGTACAGCAAGACACTGTTGCATTATGGGACCTGCTGTCATACCCAACCTTATTGTAAACCCTCATGCTTACCAAACTGGGAAGTAAAGCTACGCATTTGCATTACAGGGATAACACTAACATAACATAATGACAGACATAAATTATAAACAAAGCATGCAAGGATGTTTTTTTACCTGGACAAAGAATGAAAAAGTGTGCATGGTCTTCACCTTTTGCTAAATCTGGCTGATATGTATGTTGTCCACTGGCTGTAGTGATGCAGCACTGTTTTTCTTGTTTGTTTAGTGTACGCAACCAAGGTTTGTGTCTAAGCCTTGGGATACTGATAAACATGTTTTGCCATTTTTTCCTCTATGTGATATTCCACATACCTGAATCCTTCTTGCTCCCCTTGCCTCCATCTCTGTTCTTCTTCAGCACCGCCTTGAACATGGCAAGATTCCTGGAATCCTCTCTGTAGAGGTTCTGGACCAAAAAGAAAACATTTGATTACTCACAGCCAAAACAACAGTATTGTCACTCACGGAAAACCATGGAAATAATCACTGACAGATTATTTTTCTACTCATGGAGCAGAAATGAAGCAATTTCCTCTTTTTTCCAGTGAATAACAAACTCTTCAATCCTTTAAAAAGGCTTTACAGGTTTTTACATTATATCTGCTTTCAGACATGCACTGAACTCCACAGTTCCTCCATATTTTGTCCGGAGGAGGTGCATGTGTGAATGCAAATGTCCGAGTGAGACGCTCCGTAGTCTCTGCAGACTTTGTCCGGTTGGCCTCCTAGTATAATGTCCGTACAATTCCAGAAGTCGATGTGTGAACACAACCAGGAAACCCCACTGGATTCACAGAGAGCAAGTCGGGGGATTGATGCTGCTTCTAATGCACAACAGAAGCAAATATGAAAAAAAAAACTAAAAGACAACAAATCTCTCCCAGCTGAGGATTTGATGCTGTTGTGAACGTGTTTGTGCACAGAACCTCCTGCTGTGTATGTGTGAAAGGCAGACTGTGGACAAACTCCTTAGCCAGTTCTCCAGGTTTTTACCCACAGGTTAGTCTGAAAACCTCTTTAAGACATGCAGTCTCTCTTTACACAATACTAACCAAACGATACGACATGTGCCCTTGAAAACCTAACATAGCAATGGCAAAACAGTGTTCTGCTTAGCTGGCACCCGCCTGGAAGTTTTCCCACAGCACTCCCAATCCTGCAGGTCATCAGTGGAGGGGCACATGGAAAGAATGCTCTAATATTTAAACAGAAAAGGACAAGTTCTGCTATCTTGCTATGCAGGAAAACATTGTCGAATGCCCTGAATTCCACATGTAATTGATGCTATGTGGCTGAACTTGGGGTGTTTGCAATTGCTTTCCATGCTTGTTCCCAAACTAGTGTGCATTTTGAATCCTTAGAGTTAAACGGTATAACATGAACTCAAGGTCTTTCCTGGATGTGCTTGTTTTCTTTGGGATTATTTATAGACTTATGTAGCTGGACAACAGTAAAACCATACTGAACTACACACAACACAAGCCAGAACAGTTAATTGTGGTTACCAACCCCGTGAACACAATATAGACTGCTTTAGTGCACCCTGCTATATTAATAGCAACAGAGCAATCTTTCCAATAAGGAGAAAAGAAAGCTTTCAACCAAATAAGGCTATGCCTTCTGCAAACAAAACACAGAGTCCTTGTACTGAGTCCTTAACCCCAGAGAGCTGGCTTTAAATATCTAGGTCGTACTGCTGCAGAGAGAGGCTATCGATCCGCCCCTTTTCATCCTTGATGAAGCAAAGCTTCAACTGAATCAATTATTGGAGGTGGAGGCATCAGGGGTAAATCACTGATGAGCTTCTGCATCTCACCTCAGCCTTGACTGCTCAAAGAAAACTTTTCATGGGGTTTTACTCCACAGAACCAAAATATAAATCAAGATTATCAGTGATGGTTTCAAGGTAGCATGAGGATTTGGGTTTCATTCTGAAAAAACACTCACATTCTCCAACCTTGCTCCGGTAAGGTTAAAATTTCAAAT